AAAATTTCATCTAGATGAAAGGTCACTTTCATGCATTCTTTTGCATGTTTTTTCGAAGATGATTACTTTTTAAAAGATTTTGTCTTATACGTTATCGGAGAAAAAGACGTCTCAACTTCTACTCTTTCAGTTGGTGAAAGCCGCAGATCGCTAGCTACTGCCGTTCTCGAGATATTCGTTCTACACCCACCCCTATTTAATTCTGGCGCCGACAATAGATAATGTACGGCTTATCTAAAGGTCTATTATCATTAAATAAAAAGATTAGGAAAAAATATATTTTGATCTTTATTTGTACTAAATGTTGAAAATAGCCTCTATAATCATTTACACAAAGCTGCACTGTTTCTAATAACTTTTCGAACATCTCATAGAAATCTTCTTCTGAAACATTTCTAACAGTGTCCAAATCCGCAGAACCTAATGATTTTTCATTCGTTTGGTCAGCTAAATAAGGCGTGACATAATTATTTAGAAGAAAATTAAATGATACAAGATCGATCAAAAGCATTGAAATAAAGTATTGACATGCAATCATTATATTCTTTTTGTACCTGAAAACCTTTTTTTCTTCAAAGTTTCATTGACAGCAAGGCTAGTGCAGTTTTCAATATAATACGTATGATCCACAGCCTTGTTTGTATCTCAATTATTTATAAAAACGAACACTCCCACTAAGTCAACATGGGTTGGTGGAATTTGCACAAACTATCTATCATAAATTCATACATAATCATTTATCACAATATTACATAATTGCCATAAGCTATTACGAAACTTTGCCAAATTTGCGGGACGAATTCCAACTCCCTTTTGTTTTTCTTATTATTAAGTTGATGAGGCATCGATGTGATGTAACTTTGCTTATATTTAGACAATCGTAAATAACGCTCTATATTGGATGACCAAATAGGGAGATCGACCTAAGTTAGAATGTTATCATCAGTTATAAATGAATCATTATTGAATATTTACATCTGTAAGATTCAGAACCGAACAATCAGATCGAAGGTCATCAATGATATCTTTTCTTGCTTTATGAAAATATCTTATCCATCTGAAAACTATCGGATATGATGAATCGCTCTTGTATTTATCCTCCAAATAGTCCAAATATACTTAAAGTATCAATCAAAATTAATTATTCATTTTTCAAATTTTTTTCTTTGAATTCTATTTTGTCTGATAAAATACTAAAACACAAATGAAATTACTATACATGTAGTTATCGATAAGATTTTCTTTGTTATCAATAATTTTGAAAAGACCTGGGCATCTTTAATTGCGGATAGGATCGTGGATATTTCTAAAAGCCTATGAAAATTATTCGAAGAAAACGAAGGAGCTGACGTTAATCATTGAAGTAGACTCGTGTTTTACTAAAGAAGATGTCATCGATGACGATAGTTGTTGTGGTTGTGTAACGTTTGCTTAATCCCAATGGTTAGGTGAAAGTTGCAGAGAAACACTTGACGAAATATGAGTAGACCCATACGACTAGTATTTTTCACTTACACTCCAAGTTGGAATTGACAGGAGTCGCAGTGTAAATAAAAACTCTCAAAGATTTCGTGAAATTAGTCCTTCCGTCTCGAATTAAGGTCATTTTACTGAGTTTTAAGCCTGTTTCAAAACATTACGGAAAAAAGCTAACAAGGAAATTCTGCTAGAAATTTTCCATGAGAATAGAACTTGTAGTTCTGACGACAACATATAAAAAAGCATATTGGAATTGAAGCTTTCAGACCATTATAAAGGAGATAGAATCTGTTGTCGTTGTAAGTGCCGGGCAGGATTTCATTATTACTGTTTTAATATGTTGGTAATATTCTCCAATAGACTCAGAATTCAGTAGAATGAATATAGTTCGAGAAGAAAGACATGTTATCACAAATCCTGACAAGATTCCTACACTACGAGTGCTAACGATGAAAAACATGAGATCAAGTCCAGGGTATTGACCAGATGTGATCCTTCTTTAGTTAAGTGAAATATGTTGCGTTTCGTTTTGTCATGCCAGATTTGCAAAATGTTTAGTGTTAACATATTTTTTTCTAAACAACTTTCAAGAACATACTAAATTAACTACATACACAAAAGCATAGGACAAGTGTCTTGATATATACATATAAGATGGCTAGAAATCAAAGTAAATAATAAAACAAAAAACGAGAAGAAGGACAAGAAAAAAGACATAGTGATGACAGCATAATTGACTACTAATGTTCCTGATACAGATCAAACTAGTTACAGTTACCGTGATCCATTTTGAATATATCATGTGGATGTTTTCCGAAGCATATTGACATTAGCAGCACCATAAATATGTATGATAGAACCGTTATGTTTGTAATAATATTCAAATTAAAACAAAAAGTTCTAAATGAAATGATTACAGTCAACTAAGTATACAATATATGCACATCACAGCCCGACAAAACTATCTCATAATCCCCAATGTGTTGTACACATGGTTATCCTTTCGCTTTGTGAACATCTTTTCCAAGCTTTAAGTGTGCTCGATCGCAACTTATATACTTATACGAAAATGAAAGTGATACTAGTGCCTAAAAAATTTTCAAAAAAGAGAAACTGACCAATGAAGATTGATTTCTGTTAATCAAGAAAATTTTTACCATTTCCAAATCGTCAAAGAAGGATTCTAATGTCACAGCTACTATGATTGAATAGTGCTGAAAATTCTGGTCGATATTCTGTTGAATGTGACTAGCATTGGATAACAATTTCAATATCAAGCGATGAGTAAAAACATAAACATATTCTGAAACAAACTTCTATCCAACTACAAGTTTTATATAATTTCTTGGAAAAGTAAGAAACAAATGAGGAAATCGTTTGAACAGACAAGACGAAGCTTTCAAGATGAATCTTGATTATTACATGACATGATCATCATTTCCTAGGATTATGATCAGCTATTTCAGAAATTTTTGTGAGAATGGCTAGTGTTTTCTCTAGAATTTATTCGGTTAGATTTCTGTTTGATTGTCACCATCCTATTATTAATAGCTTGAACAAGAATCTATCGTTTTTTTCTACTAGAATTATTTCATAAATGATGAGTCGAGAAGAATACGAATCGATGTGTACTTCTTATAGTATATTATACCTGTTGATAAATACTATACTTATATTTCTTTTTGCGGGATCTTGTTCTAGTTTGAGAGTATGCATATTTAGATTCGATAACCGATACGATTTATTTTTTTTAGTTTTCACTTAAGAAACTCTATTAGTAAATTCAAAAATGGCTTCGAAATACGCCGATATCGATGAAGAACAAATACACACACAACGATTTTCTGATATTGCCGGAGAACCTTGCCGAATGTTGATGCCCATTCAAGGCTACGAAAAAAAGCCTCTGGTTACACTTGAAGAGGCTGTTGAACCTGTAGTATCGTATGTACCTGATGTAAAACGAATGGCTTACATTGCGAAAATGAAATGTGCAGAACTTTCACCAGGAAAACTACCGATAAATCAAGCAGCCTCGATTACGCTCTATTCAATGGAATGGGAACCACAAGAAGAGTGTCTGTATTATGTCTTAAACCAGACACTACGTAACGAAAATCGGCAAAAGGTGAAGCCGTGGTTTCTTTTTCTACGATTGATTTTGACGGCATTGGCTCAGCTCCCATCAACGGTGTCTAATGTTTATCGTGGAATTAAACGAGATATGAGGAAGGAATATCCGCAGGGAAAAACATTCGTTTGGTGGGGATTCAGTTCTTGTACATCTAAAATAAGCGTACTTCAGAATAAACAATTTTTGGGTACAACAGGTCCAAGGACTTTCTTTACAATCGAATGTGATAGTGGCAAAGATATCCAAAAATATTCCAGTTTTAAAACTGAACACGAAATTCTTCTTCCGGCTGCAAGACAGTTTAAAGTTGAAGCATGCCTCAGTCAAGGTAAAGATCTTTATTTGATACAACTCAAAGAAATTCAACCGCCATTTCCCCTGATTGAACTTGTACCAATAGTGAGAATTCACATCTATTTCAAATTTATCGATGCTCATAGCTATACATTTTTTTTCTAGACACCTCCCAAGAAAATTTTACCAGCACCAATTGTCCCATCACCACCGAAACCCATTGCCACGAAAATCACAACAGCAGGTAAGAGTGTTAAAAATCGATTTTTTTTATCGTCAATCGATAGAGTAACCCCTGTTGATAAATTAAAGTAGATAAAGAGTCAGGATCGCACACTTCTTCATGCACTGATTATCAATGTGAGAGAATTAAACAAAAGTAAATCCAATTACATTGCACCTACACTGAATTTGTAATCCATAAAATCAGATTTAAATAGCAAAAATGAATGTAAATTCAGAAAATTTGAATTAATTAGAATTCAAATTACTTTGGATTCAATTTGTGATAAATCGAACTTAATTTGAATAAACTTGTAAAATTTGATGGATTTTTATGACTTTAAGTTAAGGTGAGTTTGAATTTCTAAAAAAATTAAAATGAATCTAAATTAACATATACAGATGTAAATTTCTTTTCTCTATCTTTTATCAGTAAACAGTTGATAGATTTTATTAATATGAATTCTGCCTTGCTTCATTTCAGATTGAGTATTTCATCTAGCAGTAAAATAAAATATCAGTAAAATCATCAAAGATCAGCGTAACAGATTCATTTGCTATCGAAAAATAGACTGATTTTATCGATTTTTAAAAAGAATTGTTTATAAAATTTTGTATCCGACGGTTTTTCTCGTAGTATAAAATTCATCTATCTCTGTTCAGTCGTTCATCTTGGAATGCATTAAAATTTTGGAGTATTACACATTAAATAAAATAATTGCGTTTATAGATTACAGAGCGAAAAAAATGGTTGAGAATAATCTACATACATTTTTGAGCTACATAAACGAAAAAGCCATTGCATTTACAGGTTAGAATTAGCTTCTACATTAAAAAAGAGTGTGTTGAAAACCAGTCGACCTCAGACTGACATTTGTATATGTTCGCATTTAAAGGTAGAAGACAACGTAAATATTTTTCGTTTAATAGCTTAGAATCCATGTAACATTGTTTAATTCTTATCATAAATCGAAAGATATCACAAATGAGACGAATACATACGATCAATTACGAAAATTTTTGATAAAATCTAGAAAAAAAAATTTCTGAATTCATTCTTGTATACATGAATAAATTATATGGTTTGGTAGTTTGTGCCAAAAAAATAAAATAAGGCCTAGTCCTTCATTTAGTTTGATCTTCCAGGATAAAATTTGTAATTCCAATCAATTCGATATAACAAATCGTTTGATTATTGTTATTGATCATCTTGAATGTGCCTATCTAAGCTATTCAGTCTATGTAAATAACAGCAGTTGTTTTTCTTAGATATGAAATAAGTATCGAAATTCTAACTTTTGACAGATTTAGTATCCAGAAAAATACTATAAGTTTTGGATATTTTACAAAGAATCAGATCAAAAACTTTTTCTTCTGAATAGTTTTTCACATTTAAAAGCTTTGCTCAAGATAAATCAGCCTGTTAGACTTGAGATAAATATTGGTTTGGTAATTTTCTCTTTCTCCACTGTTCACATGGTATCCTGCTATTTCCAGCAAATAGTTTTACATTTTTCTTCAATCATCACTTGTTTTGAAATAAACAAAAGGGCAAAACTGAATGAACTCGCATGAGTAAATCAACTTTAAAAGAAGAAATGTTATTCTATTAGAGACAAGACGTATTGAAATAAAACTGAGAAAGTCATATAAAAGAAGATGAAAGACATTTTGTCCATAAGCTACTCTTAAATATTGCCTTGATTATAGTGATCGTTTTGCTTCAGACCAAGAAAAAACAGTGCCCTTGAACCTTTCATACTGCAAGATTTCAAAGCATTTTTTGAGTCTATAAAACACTATGTCAAATCTCATAATGAATAAAGTTTTCAGTTTCCATTTTGTTTGTACCATTATCTAAACTAATAAGTTGAATGCGGGTGACATCTAAAACAGTATTTTACTAACAGACAACTGCTACAGCTTCATCATAGATTACAACTTTCAATAAAACCATATTGATTACCATTTGTACGGTCTGGTCTTTGAAGAAAAGTGCAAATGAACATCAATTGCCGTATAGTAATACTTAGTTCGAAATTTTCAATATTAGTACTACTTCAGTAAAAATTATATCATTAGAAAGAATATAAGAAACCGATCAAGACATGCTAATTTCATCTGAGGCTTACTTTCAAGTTCATAGCAAAAATTTACAAAAATATCTAAAATTTCTAGAGATAACCGCATGAGTAATCTAAATATTTCAAGTTCTATTTCTCATACAAAAATATATATTGACTTTCTTATTGTTTATCGGTTCAAGAAAAAAGATATCTATTTCGTTTTTTTTACTTCGTTTGTAGTAAATCATGAACAAATAGTCTTTTTGAATTGATCATAAAATTATTATTCCTTTTTCTTGTCAGTTATTCTTGCCATTGCTCGATCGAAAAGAATTGCTATTGTTTTCTGCAATTTCATTGTCAATTTCAATATGCAATCAAAACAAACATAAATAAGTCTCATATGATTTTTGAATGTGAAAACTCCTTCTAGTTGATTTTTTTCTGGGAATGAGGTGCCATAAAAAGAATATGGAAAAAATAATTGGATATAAATGTGATCCTTGAACTGCATTAGGTTTACCATCTTTGAAAGTAGTATCATGCACCTGTTGAATGATATTATATTGATAAATCCTCATGCGATCATCAACATAACGAGATAAAATACCTAACACAAATTGTGCTAGTTATTCGTGCACTGAAATAATTATAGTTTTTGGCCATTCATAATGTTCAAAGAGGATTATTTCAAACATTTTTCATGAAGAAATTTTATTATATTTCTTTCAGTTATGTTTTTCCTCATGTCTTCAGTAACATAGACATTTGCGTTTGTATGTACAGGAAAAGAGATAAAAAGAATATGACAGTTAATGGAATTATTTGGAAATTGTATCACAGTCAAATAAGTGATTTACTCAAACAAGTTGCCTAATTTAAATCAACAATCTTTCGAATTTCAATCTTAAATATTTAAGCGAAAACCAATTCAGTTCAACACAACTAGATGCTAACCTCAATAGGATATTACTTTACTCCTTTATCTTTCAAATCTGATCATCAGCTTATATATATGATGTGAATTGAGAAAACAAATGGAAGGAGATATGCAATTATATCTTTATACATCATCTTTCTGAAATTAATATGGTATAACAAAAACGCCATTGTATTTATTCAAAAACTGAGTCCAACACACAGAATCAATATATAATTAAGGGATAAATAAGCTGTTTTCAATATAGAAAAGATGTTTCCTTTCAGATCTTGTGCAAGCAATACTTTCCAACATAAGTAAAAAGAAATAGATTTTTTTTTGAGACGATTAACAATAAGAAAGTCAATATATAGTTTTGAATGAGAAATAGTACTTGAAATATTTAGATTACTCATGAGATCTGATACAATAATGATGTAAAATAATTACATATTGATACTTTTCTTAAATTGAACTATCACATCAATATTATTATCATCATAATCATTACGAGCAATGTGGCAAGGTTGTTTTTTTCTTCTTTCCTATCAGCTGTTCACATAATATACATGCAAGATTACGGTTGTCTCTAAATAATTTAGATATTTTTGTAAATTTTTACTACGAACTTGGAAGTATGCCTCAGAGGAAATTAGTATTTCTTGATCAATTTCTAGTGTTCTTTCGAATGATATAATTTTTACTGAAGCAGGATGATATTGAAAATCTCGAACTACTTAGTTAATGTGAACTAAAATAATACTGTATTCTAGTCTGACTCTACTTTAGAAGATCGCAGCATAAGCATAATACAATAGAGAATACTATGAAACAAAAAGATATCTTGATCCCATTGATGGATGTTTTCGTCAATTCATTTTTTATAAATTGAATCATATTATTAATAGAAACAAGTTGTTCAAGAGAGTATGATTAATAGATTCTCACTGAAATCCTTGGTGTGAATCCGAGATGATCTTTACACGATAATTTGAAAAAGACGTACATCTTAAGAAAGGAAATGTTTTCTTTTTATTTCAACATTTTAAATAAATTCATTCATTATGAATATTTGTATCAAAAGACGAAGATTATCGATTCTAATTCTTTATTATCTCTAATATTAATTGTTAACTTTAATAACATTTAATCAAAATATTGAAGAAATTCTCTACTCAAGTTTATTTCAACGAAAAATATTATTTAACTTTGGAAGTAAAGAATTCTGGTAGAAAAGTAAAATTTTGATTGATGATTCGAAAATGAAATCTATCATTTCTCCAATTTTGATGGCCACTTTTATGTTCGCAAATGAGAGGACACGAGAGAATGCATAGCTATGCTTACAATTGTTCAAATTTTCAGGTTTTTTCAAATCCATATAAAATTTCAAAACTTTAAAGAATTGAAATTTTTTATAATTCTGACATTCAAATTTCATAATTAGTACGAATTATCAGGTCATCAATATCAAAAGAAACAAGTTAATAATATTACGAAAAAGGTAAAAAAAACGTTTATAATGAAATTTTCATGAAAAATACTAACTTGATCAAGTTGTACCTTTTTCAGTCATTGTTTATACTTGGTATAAAAAACACGATAAAGTAGATCTTACTTGATAGAAATGCATCATTTTCTAAGGAATTGAGTAATGAATCTTCTTATTAGAAAACTTTGTTTCAAAATGACTAAAACATGCATAAACACTGAGACAAATCCTGTGATCATCATTTATATAGCCTCATCTGTTTTCGTCATTTTTCTTCCGAATAACTCGAGTTATAGGTCTCCATGAAATAATTATAATGGATGTTGGTGAGTGTGGGAATGGGTTTGGAAAGGGATAAAGACATGAAATACACCCACATCCAAACCCTTCTCTAGGAGTTCTGACCTTGAGAACTTTTTCAACAGTTCTTTTGAAAGGACCTGATCGGTTTTGAAAATTCTTTGGAGAAGTACACATAAATTGTATCGACTTGGTTTCAGCCCGAACCATACTGAATCAAACCGAGATCGATTCACTTTTGACAATTCATCTGAGCTTACGGTCTTCAACAGTTTCACGTCTTTAAAAAGCCCAGTTCTCAAAATATAATAGTTTC